TCGATAGAGTAAAGGGTAGGCGAGTGAACCAATTTAAAGAAAGTCCTTTTAAAGTCGTCGAAAAGGCCTTGCATATGAGAATCATTAGTCGAGTAAAGACTAACTTCTGTGGTGGATATGGCCACATGCTAGTCAAGGTTAGTGGACCATCATAGTGGTTCAGGGTGAGGGCTTTCCACTACTTAGGAAGCGGGGTATCTGTAATGCCATTGATTAAGAGATGTCAAGGAGGCCTTACTTTTAAAATTAAATTTTTTTAATCAAACTTTTAATCATCTTTGTAAAATATACAATTAAAGTTTATACTATGCATAGTTAAATTTTATTCTATGCATTGTACTATGTACAATTGAATTTTATAAAATTATACATATGATTAATTGACATAAAATTTACAATTATTAAATGTAAAATTAATAATATTAACAAAAAATATTTATATATTAATTATACATATGATAAATTTTGAACATAAAATTAATTATACAATTAATATGTACATACAATTCCTAAGAAATATATAATTATTATATCATTATAAATCTTTAATGTACACTAATATATAAATTAGATGCATTAATATATAATTAATTTTATGCATTAATATACAATTAATAATAAGATAGATAAAATTGTACGATTCCTACGATATATAAAATAGTACAATTAATATATACATTTTATTTATAGATTTTTATATTAACTGTACAATTAACATATCTACGAGGGTTGTCAAAATGGGCTGGAATCCATGAGTCAATCCAGCCCATCACGGGTTCGAGCAGGGTTAGGTTAGAATAATATAAAATTTAATGGGGGTCAATTTTGAGTCCGATTCACTAAGAACTCAATTCACCTAGGTTGAGCTCGTGGTAACTCGAGTTAGCTCACCAATCCACATAATTATTACTTTGTGTTTCAATATTATTAGTCAACACTTTTTTTTCTTTTTTATTGTATTGTAGTTAGGGATAAAGAAGAAGGTACTTCAAGAAAGCAAAATATTGTGGATTTGTCCATTCAAGACTCTAATATTATAAATGGATAAATGAAACAAAAATTATCAATGTTATTGCTCTTGGGTTGTATTTGTAGTTTAAGGTGATTTTGGATTGTATTGTATTGAAATTTATTTAGATTTTGATGTAGAAAAAAATTATTATTTTTTGGAATTGAAAAAAGAAAGAACTTGTAATTAAATGAGAGAATCAACTCATTTAACCTACCAACATGTGGTGGGTCGGGTCAAATTGACTCACTAAGTGCCCAATTCGTGATGGATTGGATCGGGTCGAGCCGAATGAGTCGTTTTGATAACACTATTACTATATACATTTTACTAAAATTATTCAATTAAAAATATTAATAATAAGTAAAAAAATAATATATAAAATAAATTGTAAAAATATTTTATTAATAATGTGAGAGTCGAGAAATTTAAAGGAAATTGGAGCAGGATAGGTGTATGCACTGGATTGCACCGTTCGGTTTTGAGAGTAATATATAAAGGAAAGTTTCAAATTTCCTCCCATTCTCTGCATACACTCTCTCTTTCTAAAATTCTGATCTTCTCTTTTCTCCTCCTTCTCTCTAAAAATCTTCATTAGTTAATCAGTTGTTCTTTGTTCAGAAGGAGTTTAGGTGATCCTTGAGCTTAAGGATTTCTTGTCAACCAGTTAATCCAGTGATTTGAGTCAATAAGTTTCATCCTCTGTTCTTAGTGTTTCGATTTTCTGGTGCATGAAAAGGAAATTTCGTTGCATGTGTTCAGCAGCTTCTTCTTTTCATTTCTAATCATGTTCTTAGTCTTTTGGTTGATCCTTTCTTTCTAAATCGGTGATCTTTAGGTGTTTTTAGATTTTCTTGAAGTTCAAACAATTTTCTGAAGGTGTCAAAGCTTTTTGTTCGGTCATGTTATTGAAGACTCTTAAGTGTTGTATTCATGTTGATTGTGATTCTGCCTAATTCTTGTTCAGTGGCCGAGTGATTTTGGGAGGAAGTGTGATAGTAAAGATGTAGAATTTGTGTAGGTGTGAGTTTGGTCTGTATACTATAAGTTGGGAAGAATGAAGGTAATTGGTAAAGATTTGGTGTTGATCATAATTATGCAGTCATTCTACATAATTATGCAGTTCGTTGAGGGTCCTTCGTTGACCATTTGACTTTCTTATTGTGTTCGGTCTTAACTGAGTTTTACTTTTGTAGAGCTTTTCAGTTAATGACCGATCGATCTTGTACTAGTATTCTGTTTTAATCGTAGCAATCGTTCTTAGTGGATTGTGTGGTTTATTATTAGCGCTCGTTCTTATACTAGTGCTCGACCCCGTACCTGTATTAGGTCTCAAATACGTTCGGCCGAAGTTATAGGTGTTGGGCTTCTCATGGGCTTTACCTGTTCATGATTATTCAGTTATGATTGGATAGTAGTTCTTGTACACAATTCGGTCTTAGGAAGAAAAATGGTGTTTTAGTAGCGTTCGATCTTAAGAAGGAAAATGATGTTTTAGTTGCGTTCGGTCTTAGGAAGGAATATGGTGTTTTAGTAGCGTTCGGTCTTAGGAAGGAATATGGTGGTTTAGTAGCGTTCGGTCTTAGGAAGGAATATGGTGTTTTAGTAGCGTTCAGTCTTAGGAAGGAATATGGTATTTTAGTAGCGTTCGGTCTTAGGAAGGAATATGATGCTTTAGTAGCGTTCGGTCTTAGGAAGGAATATGGTGTTTTAGTAGCGTTCGTTCTTAGGAAGGAATATGGTGTTTTAGTAGCGTTTGGTCTTAGGGAGGGGTATGGTGTTCTAGTAGTGTTCGGTCTCTAACGTTAGCATTGTATTCGTTCTCTTGGGTATTTATGCTATGGTTGTTTGTAAAATGTTTGAATTAGGTTATGTGAACTTTATTGTGTATGGATTATGGTATTAATATTTAATAAGGCATATGTTTCAAGTAATGTGGAAGAGAATTCCATGGAGGAATGTCTTATGATTGGTTATTAAATTGTAAAGTATGAATATGGATATCGTACTAAGTTGTCGTTCATCCTGAAATTCTATGATTACCATTCTCACACAAAGAGAGGTAATTCATTTGTGAGAATATCAGGAGGTCCTTTAACCTCAGGGTACCGAGGTAAACATCACTGGATTAACCTTGGGTGTTAGCTTGATTGGTGTCAGCTATTTCACCACCGCAAGTGCAAGGACGACTGTAGCTACATATTCATACAATCTGGATAGTCCAGTTTAGTGGTAGGTTATTAGATGTTTGGTGTTCAGTCAATGTATGTTGAGTGCTCGGTTTGTGCATTTTTTTGAACATATGTTAAGATTATATATGTTGTATTCAATTAAATTACATTAGTTTTCCCTTATTTTCTTGTTTTATCCATGTTTTCTATTCGGTTTTTTATTTGCAATGATCACTTTGTGGGTGTGAGTAGAGGGAGGCGGTTATTCATTGGAGCAGGCGCTGGACTACGAGGACTCAGTTGTTTAGCCTAAGATCGTTCGGTCATATAGATATATAGTTGTATGAACCTCTGGTCATGTACATTGTTTTGTAGTAGTATAGGAATTTTGTAAAGTTTTAAATTTTATGGTTATTTTTGGAATAACGGTAAGGTTAACTTTATTTCTCGTAATTGTCCTACCGTATTATTATATGATAACTCCTTTATATAGTTTATTGTTATATTTTTGGGATGTTACAAATTATGTTATAAATATAATTCAAAAAAATTTACTTTAATAAATTAATATAAAAAAAGACTAGTGTTGTCAAAATAGGTTGTAACCCGTGAGCCAACCCGACTCACCACGGGTTTGAGCCGGGTTGGGTTTGAAAAAAATGTAATTTTTTTATGCGGATTAGTTTTCAACCCGGCTCACTAAGTTGAACCCGTGGTGAGCCGGGTTGGTCACTAACCCACCTAATTTAATTTAATATTTATTATTTTGTGTTTCAATATTATTAGTTAGCATTTTTTTATTATATTGTATATGGTGATAAAGAAGAAGATGTTTCAAGAGAGAAAAATATTATCGATTTATCTATTCAAGACTCTAATATTATAAATGGACAAGTGATACAAAAATTATCAATATTAAAAACGTATTTGTTTGTATATGTTTTTGGATTACGCTTGGATTGTATGGTACTTTTTTATTTATTTTGAATTGTCTTTGGAGTTTAACATCATTTTAGAGTAACGTTTATTTAGATTTGAATTTAAAAAAAATTGTAATTTTTTATTTTAAAAAAAATTATAATTAAAAGAGTTAATGAGTCAATCCGTTTAACCCACCAACCTGTGGTGGGTCGAGCCAGTGACCAACCCGTGGTGGACCATACTGGGTCGAATCGGCTTACCCGTTTTTACAACTCTAAAAAAGACCCATACTAAGGCTTCAAACTAGTGTTTTAATAAAAGGTTTGGCATTATTTTTTGAAAACTGAGGTGATTTAGGTTAGCCCATGGGGTTTATTTAAGTACCTTATTTATTTTCATACCTATTTAATGTTAAATCGAAATTATAAAAATTATTTACAGAAGCCATTTTATAAATGGTTTCACGTCTCAAAGTATTTTAAGCTATATATAAATAACAAATTAAAAATTCTATTTGAATGATCTCAAGTCCAATTTTATCTTCCTCGTGTTTGGGCCACAGCATGATCATATTATGGTCATTTTTTTCCTGCACCTTCATACATTTTATCTTGCTCACAAACTTGTAAAATGATTTACTTACCTTTATCTTTTTCTTTTCGTCTCCTTCTTACATGTGAAATGATTTACTTACCCTTATGTTTTTCTTTTCAACTCCTTCTTCCTCCTCCTCCAGTAAGAAAGCACTCTTTCCCATGCCCTCTCCCCCTTATGCTGCTACTCTTAAGAATTTTCTAAATCAATATACTTAATCGAGAAAACTGCATTATTCTATCACATTCCCCTGTCAAGTAGTCCAAGGAGAAGGACCAAAAAGATGAGAAGGATAAACTCGAATAGGAAACATAATAGAAACGTCTTTGTTTCATTATTATTAAGAGAAGTACTCTTGTCCTTGGCAGTTCAAACTCATTACTAGGTAATAATAGTATACACATACGAACACAACACAACAAATCCACATGCAGCATAAAAGTGACATTAATAAATATGTAGGGGAAAAAAAGAACAAAGATATTTTTCTCTCGTTTGATTTTGGAGGCGCTTTTACAGTCCTAAAGGGGAACTTGCTTCCTGCGATCTCATCCTGCTCTTTCTCAAACGCTCAGCGATGATGAAAGCAAGCTCAAGAGATTGTGAAGCATTGAGCCTTGGGTCACAGTGTGTGTGGTAACGTGAGCTCAAGTCATCAAATGTCACTGTTCTTGATCCACCAATGCACTCTGTCACATTTTGACCCGTCATCTCTAGATGAACCCCTCCTGGGTGGCTTCCTTCTTGCTCGTGCACATCGAAGAATGCTCTCACCTCAGCCTGATCAATAATTCAGTGAAAAAATGTCAAAACCATGATCAAATTCTTTTCTCCACTTTATTCTCTCACTAAACTTTATTGCTTTGGAAAAATCACGGACGTTGCTTTGAGGTAGTCACATTGATTTAGAAGGTATCCAAACACACTAAAAAAGTGACATTGTGATATCATGTTTCTTTTTACTAGTCGACAAAAATGAAAACATTAACACCCACATGGACCCCAAGGTCCACTCCCACCTAATGATATAGAAATATAACCAATTCCACAATGATATTTCGAACTGAAAATGACCTCACTAGTAAACTGTTTCACCAACTTCTACAAGTAGCCCTTTTTCGACCTACCACTTCTAAGTATTACAGCCTTCAGGTTTGGTAGCCCACCATACACGACCTCACTTCAGATGCCGGTAGATTCTGTTCAAATCCTTCCTTTTTTAATATTTTTTTTACATTTAGATTTTTGTCTGTTCTGTCTTCTTTCTCTTACTAGCATGAGATGTTAGTATATGCATCATTTTCTAAAAAGCATATACATCTTTCCAATGTTTTCCTTCTTTTAGAAAGAAGGTTTTAAGAGGTTTTGTTTAATCCAAAAATTATGACTAGCACAGGGTGGAAAAAACTATTTTATTTTCTTCCGAGGAAGAGGACAATAACTTCAACTTCATTTTAATCCTAACATGTACGCATATTTGAAGCTACTCGACAGCCACCTATAAGCAATTAAAAGTTAGAAAGAGAAGCGAGAATATACCCTGATGGAATCGAAGGGGCGAGTTTTAAGACCACAGGGAGCCTTAATGGTGTTTCCGTGCATAGGATCACTGACCCAAGTGACAATTTGTCCTGCCCTGCGCACTGCCCTGATGAGATGTGGAAGCTTCACCCTCATATTTTCAGCTCCCATCCTTGTGATCACAGTTATTCTCCCTGGTTTGTTTTGGGGATTCAAGATCTCAATGAGTTTAACAAGCTCATTTGGATCCATCTTATCACTTACCTGCCAAAGCATAAAAAACATAAAGCTTCAATAAGCCACTTAAATCACAATAAATAAAAATCAAAGAAACACTAGACATATGAATGAAACTGCATTTGAAATAAGAGGTAAATTGATCAGGTCCAAACCTTAATTCCCAAGGGATTAGCAACTCCTCTTAGAAACTCAACATGCGCACCATCGAGCTGTCTGGTTCGTTCTCCAACCCAAAGCATATGGGCTGAGCAATCATAGTAGAGACCAGAAGTTGAATCCAACCTAGTGAGGGATTGTTCATATGGCAACAATAAGCACTCATGAGATGTCCAAAATTCGGTTGTTTTCATGATTGGATGGTCCACTGTGAGCCCAGCAGCAGCCATGAATCCAAGGGCCTCATCAACTCGGTTAGCAAGCTCACGGTACCTGCCATACCAAGAACAAATATAATTTACGTCAAGCCACACTACCATTAAAAACAAGATAATACATACCTTGTAAAAGAAATTGTAAACAAGTACATTCCTCTTGTAAACTGTTATCTTGAAAGTAGTAAAAGAATACTATTGTTTGTTTCACTGTACGCCATTTTCATTACAGCATTCTTATCTTCTGTTTTAGATAATAAAACAAAACTGCACACACCAAACACGCTTTAAACATTTTTTCCAAAACTAGGAAAGAGTAAAGGTATAACCATCATGGATGCTGAAATAAAATGGGAGTGAACGATATCAGGGACGGTCCTTTGGTGAAAAATTACCGATTTTCAAAAAATGGAATGCTATGGTTATGATATTTATCCGAGTTAAATACTACAAAATTCAGAAATCCATACACTCCCCCTTCTTTAATGTACCGTCTAATTTGGCTAGGTGGTATGCAGCACATCAACCACACTACACAATATGCATGAATATAAATTTTGGAAAGATTTTATTTTGCCCAGCAATCTATGGTATTTATCACTTAGATAATTCCTACAAAATTAGGAAATACATACACTCTCGGTTCGTTAATGCATCATCAATTGTAGCTAATACATGCAGATTCACGTCAACTAAACAAATATGGATACAATCTAATAATTTTGGACAAATACTTTTTTTTCTTTACAATTCTTGTGAAATGTCAAATCACCTATCAAAGAAGAAAGCTAAAGCTGGATGTCTTTTTAATGGGTGTGTGTGGATGTATGTATAAAAGAAAAGAAAAGAAAAGAAAAGAACACTAATCGAGTTCTGCCTTCCTAGACTGTAGTGGAGGAGACAATTTTAAACAAGATTCGCATATCCTTTTAGATATCAAATCTCACCAATATAGGTATATAGGGTTGCCAATGAAAAATCTCCAAAGTCAATCCCTTACCTCAAATAGGTACAATGAACTCCATTAAACTATCATCAGATACCACTGTTAAAGATGAACTCGTGTAACTCGTGCCGATTTAACATAAACTTTAGCATAATTTCCACATGGACGAGTTGGCTTTTCAGAGAGAAACAAAACAACCAAATACCCTCCACCACACATGCACCCCCCCACTTATCATAATATCAAACAACGGTTTACCTTATCTCCTACCAAACAAACAAAAAAGATTAAAACAAGCATTTACTTTTTGTTTCTCAATAATTAAATTAGTTTTCACCCAATTTTACAAAGGAACAAGGTAAAATTTTTGAATGATCAATCAAACAAAAATAAATATATATTTTTCATGTAAATCAGGGATCGTTTATCAGGAAGGATTTTTCAAATTCCAAGAAAAATTAAAAATTGCAAATTGCAAATTGCAAATAAATAAATAAATAAATTACCTATCTCCCTGTTCACTGTGCTCGGTGAAGTCCAAATTCCATTGAGTAACCCTCTGCATAGNTATGGTTATTTTTGGAATAACGGTAAGGTTAACTTTATTTCTCGTAATTGTCCTACCGTATTATTATATGATAACTCCTTTATATAGTTTATTGTTATATTTTTGGGATGTTACAAATTATGTTATAAATATAATTCAAAAAAATTTACTTTAATAAATTAATATAAAAAAAGACTAGTGTTGTCAAAATAGGTTGTAACCCGTGAGCCAACCCGACTCACCACGGGTTTGAGCCGGGTTGGGTTTGAAAAAAATGTAATTTTTTTATGCGGATTAGTTTTCAACCCGGCTCACTAAGTTGAACCCGTGGTGAGCCGGGTTGGTCACTAACCCACCTAATTTAATTTAATATTTATTATTTTGTGTTTCAATATTATTAGTTAGCATTTTTTTATTATATTGTATATGGTGATAAAGAAGAAGATGTTTCAAGAGAGAAAAATATTATCGATTTAACTATTCAAGACTCTAATATTATAAATGGACAAGTGATACAAAAATTATCAATATTAAAAACGTATTTGTTTGTATATGTTTTTGGATAACGCTTGGATTGTATGGTACTTTTTTATTTATTTTGAATTGTCTTTGGAGTTTAACATCATTTTAGAGTAACGTTTATTTAGATTTGAATTTAAAAAAAATTGTAATTTTTTATTTTAAAAAAAATTATAATTAAAAGAGTTAATGAGTCAATCCGTTTAACCCACCAACCTGTGGTGGGTCGAGCCAGTGACCAACCCGTGGTGGACCATACTGGGTCGAAACGGCTTACCCGTTTTTACAACTCTAAAAAAGACCCATACTAAGGCTTCAAACTAGTGTTTTAATAAAAGGTTTGGCATTATTTTTTGAAAACTGAGGTGATTTAGGTTAGCCCATGGGGTTTATTTAAGTACCTTATTTATTTTCATACCTATTTAATGTTAAATCGAAATTATAAAAATTATTTACAGAAGCCATTTTATAAATGGTTTCACGTCTCAAAGTATTTTAAGCTATATATAAATAACAAATTAAAAATTCTATTTGAATGATCTCAAGTCCAATTTTATCTTCCTCGTGTTTGGGCCACAGCATGATCATATTATGGTCATTTTTTTCCTGCACCTTCATACATTTTATCTTGCTCACAAACTTGTAAAATGATTTACTTACCTTTATCTTTTTCTTTTCGTCTCCTTCTTACATGTGAAATGATTTACTTACCCTTATGTTTTTCTTTTCAACTCCTTCTTCCTCCTCCTCCAGTAAGAAAGCACTCTTTCCCATGCCCTCTCCCCCTTATGCTGCTACTCTTAAGAATTTTCTAAATCAATATACTTAATCGAGAAAACTGCATTATTCTATCACATTCCCCTGTCAAGTAGTCCAAGGAGAAGGACCAAAAAGATGAGAAGGATAAACTCGAATAGGAAACATAATAGAAACGTCTTTGTTTCATTATTATTAAGAGAAGTACTCTTGTCCTTGGCAGTTCAAACTCATTACTAGGTAATAATAGTATACACATACGAACACAACACAACAAATCCACATGCAGCATAAAAGTGACATTAATAAATATGTAGGGGAAAAAAAGAACAAAGATATTTTTCTCTCGTTTGATTTTGGAGGCGCTTTTACAGTCCTAAAGGGGAACTTGCTTCCTGCGATCTCATCCTGCTCTTTCTCAAACGCTCAGCGATGATGAAAGCAAGCTCAAGAGATTGTGAAGCATTGAGCCTTGGGTCACAGTGTGTGTGGTAACGTGAGCTCAAGTCATCAAATGTCACTGTTCTTGATCCACCAATGCACTCTGTCACATTTTGACCCGTCATCTCTAGATGAACCCCTCCTGGGTGGCTTCCTTCTTGCTCGTGCACATCGAAGAATGCTCTCACCTCAGCCTGATCAATAATTCAGTGAAAAAATGTCAAAACCATGATCAAATTCTTTTCTCCACTTTATTCTCTCACTAAACTTTATTGCTTTGGAAAAATCACGGACGTTGCTTTGAGGTAGTCACATTGATTTAGAAGGTATCCAAACACACTAAAAAAGTGACATTGTGATATCATGTTTCTTTTTACTAGTCGACAAAAATGAAAACATTAACACCCACATGGACCCCAAGGTCCACTCCCACCTAATGATATAGAAATATAACCAATTCCACAATGATATTTCGAACTGAAAATGACCTCACTAGTAAACTGTTTCACCAACTTCTACAAGTAGCCCTTTTTCGACCTACCACTTCTAAGTATTACAGCCTTCAGGTTTGGTAGCCCACCATACACGACCTCACTTCAGATGCCGGTAGATTCTGTTCAAATCCTTCCTTTTTTAATATTTTTTTTACATTTAGATTTTTGTCTGTTCTGTCTTCTTTCTCTTACTAGCATGAGATGTTAGTATATGCATCATTTTCTAAAAAGCATATACATCTTTCCAATGTTTTCCTTCTTTTAGAAAGAAGGTTTTAAGAGGTTTTGTTTAATCCAAAAATTATGACTAGCACAGGGTGGAAAAAACTATTTTATTTTCTTCCGAGGAAGAGGACAATAACTTCAACTTCATTTTAATCCTAACATGTACGCATATTTGAAGCTACTCGACAGCCACCTATAAGCAATTAAAAGTTAGAAAGAGAAGCGAGAATATACCCTGATGGAATCGAAGGGGCGAGTTTTAAGACCACAGGGAGCCTTAATGGTGTTTCCGTGCATAGGATCACTGACCCAAGTGACAATTTGTCCTGCCCTGCGCACTGCCCTGATGAGATGTGGAAGCTTCACCCTCATATTTTCAGCTCCCATCCTTGTGATCACAGTTATTCTCCCTGGTTTGTTTTGGGGATTCAAGATCTCAATGAGTTTAACAAGCTCATTTGGATCCATCTTATCACTTACCTGCCAAAGCATAAAAAACATAAAGCTTCAATAAGCCACTTAAATCACAATAAATAAAAATCAAAGAAACACTAGACATATGAATGAAACTGCATTTGAAATAAGAGGTAAATTGATCAGGTCCAAACCTTAATTCCCAAGGGATTAGCAACTCCTCTTAGAAACTCAACATGCGCACCATCGAGCTGTCTGGTTCGTTCTCCAACCCAAAGCATATGGGCTGAGCAATCATAGTAGAGACCAGAAGTTGAATCCAACCTAGTGAGGGATTGTTCATATGGCAACAATAAGCACTCATGAGATGTCCAAAATTCAGTTGTTTTCATGATTGGATGGTCCACTGTGAGCCCAGCAGCAGCCATGAATCCAAGGGCCTCATCAACTCGGTTAGCAAGCTCACGGTACCTGCCATACCAAGAACAAATATAATTTACGTCAAGCCACACTACCATTAAAAACAAGATAATACATACCTTGTAAAAGAAATTGTAAACAAGTACATTCCTCTTGTAAACTGTTATCTTGAAAGTAGTAAAAGAATACTATTGTTTGTTTCACTGTACGCCATTTTCATTACAGCATTCTTATCTTCTGTTTTAGATAATAAAACAAAACTGCACACACCAAACACGCTTTAAACATTTTTTCCAAAACTAGGAAAGAGTAAAGGTATAACCATCATGGATGCTGAAATAAAATGGGAGTGAACGATATCAGGGACGGTCCTTTGGTGAAAAATTACCGATTTTCAAAAAATGGAATGCTATGGTTATGATATTTATCCGAGTTAAATACTACAAAATTCAGAAATCCATACACTCCCCCTTCTTTAATGTACCGTCTAATTTGGCTAGGTGGTATGCAGCACATCAACCACACTACACAATATGCATGAATATAAATTTTGGAAAGATTTTATTTTGCCCAGCAATCTATGGTATTTATCACTTAGATAATTCCTACAAAATTAGGAAATACATACACTCTCGGTTCGTTAATGCATCATCAATTGTAGCTAATACATGCAGATTCACGTCAACTAAACAAATATGGATACAATCTAATAATTTTGGACAAATAATTTTTTTTCTTTACAATTCTTGTGAAATGTCAAATCACCTATCAAAGAAGAAAGCTAAAGCTGGATGTCTTTTTAATGGGTGTGTGTGGATGTATGTATAAAAGAAAAGAAAAGAAAAGAAAAGAAAAGAACACTAATCGAGTTCTGCCTTCCTAGACTGTAGTGGAGGAGACAATTTTAAACAAGATTCGCATATCCTTTTAGATATCAAATCTCACCAATATAGGTATATAGGGTTGCCAATGAAAAATCTCCAAAGTCAATCCCTTACCTCAAATAGGTACAATGAACTCCATTAAACTATCATCAGATACCACTGTTAAAGATGAACTCGTGTAACTCGTGCCGATTTAACATAAACTTTAGCATAATTTCCACATGGACGAGTTGGCTTTTCAGAGAGAAACAAAACAACCAAATACCCTCCACCACACATGCACCCCCCCACTTATCATAATATCAAACAACGGTTTACCTTATCTCCTACAAAACAAACAAAAAAGATTAAAACAAGCATTTACTTTTTGTTTCTCAATAATTAAATTAGTTTTCACCCAATTTTACAAAGGAACAAGGTAAAATTTTTGAATGATCAATCAAACAAAAATAAATATATATTTTTCATGTAAATCAGGGATCGTTTATCAGGAAGGATTTTTCAAATTCCAAGAAAAATTAAAAATTGCAAATTGCAAATTGCAAATAAATAAATAAATAAATTACCTATCTCCCTGTTCACTGTGCTCGGTGAAGTCCAAATTCCATTGAGTAACCCTCTGCATAGCGGCATAACCTCCAGTGGCGAAAGCTCTGAGAAGATTAAGCGTAGCTGCAGCTTGACAATAAGCCCTGATCATCCTCTGCGGATCCGGAATCCTTGACTTCTCATCAAACGCATCTCCGTTAATATTATCCCCTCTGTAACTCGGAAGCTTCACGCCGTTTTTCTCCTCAAACGAATCCGATCTCGGCTTCGCAAACTGCCCAGCCATTCTCCCCACCTAAACAAACAACGCCATTCA